TGACTAGTTGTACTTTCGTTGATATACTCTGTATATAATATGTAATCTTATATTACTACTAATAAAAAGACATACAGACAAGACTGTCCTTAAAAAAAAAAAAAAAAAAAAAAAAACTTTAAATTAACAGAATCATATGTTTTGCTTATATTCTAAGACAAAAACTATAATATTTATTGTTACAACTAATATTTTTAATAATATTGTTAAATATGTATATAGAAATAAAAGTATTATTGCTAAATAAAGTAATATAGCAATTATAAAATAAAATAGAATATTGTATAACTATTAAATTAAGATGTTTAATAAGAAGTTTAATATTTAGTTTTTTAATATATTTAACTAGATTAATAAGTTTTGTATTAGATAAGTTTTTATTAAAGATAGATTTTTTGAATATTAGAAAAATATAATCTTTTTTCTATTAGTTAATTATATAAAACTTTAAATATATTAGTTAAAAAGGACAACTATTACTTAGAAAAAATAGAACCAGTCTGTTTAAATATTTTATAACTAATTTCAAATGGCCTATATGTTTTATTATTAGGAGTTGTAAAGATTTTATTTAATAAAAATTTAGCAAAAGCTAAATTATAGTGTTCTGATCTGATTGTAATCTTTGGTTCATATTTCTTAGACTAGTTAGTATTGAATTTATAAGTATTAATAGATTTGTAAGCAATTTAGTTGTTTAAATAATATTGAATATTTTTAATTAGTTTAGAGTCTATAATAATGTTATTTAGTATTTTAATATTGTTGAATTTTACTTGATCTTTGTAATAATTAAGTATACTATTGATTATTAATTTAAGATTAGTTTGAAATTTAGAACATCTAAAGTTAATATACTAATTATTTGTTTTTAAATTTGTTTAATATTTTTAATATTTAAAATATAATAAAAAATTTGTTATTTAGTATTAATATTAGTAATTCAGCTTGATATAAATTTATAAAAATTAGATATAAAAGATATATTAAAATGATAAGTTGAGTTAAGATAGTAAATAATAGAATTAAGATTTATAAGTATAAGTAATGAATTAGTTAAAAAAGCTTTAACTTGTCTAATAATATTATTGAATTTTTTAATATTTAGATAAAATAGAATACTTTTTAGTTAAAAATAAGTATTAAAGTTATGAATTATTATTTTTTTTGTTAAAAATATATTTAGTAATTGCATTAATACTAGTTTAAATTTTATACTAGATAGTTTTAAAAGATTTGAAGATTTGAATAAAAAAATTTTTTTATTTATAGTAAAATTAAATAAAATTTGGTTAACAAAAAATTCTTATTACTTATTATTCATTGTTTTTTAATTAAAAATTCTTTATTAAGTTCAAATTAAATATCTATTTTTTTTTATAAAAATATAAAGAAATGTCTAAAAGAATATAAGAATTTTGTAATCATTTTTAGTACAGTTTTTTATATTATCTAAATAGAATAAATTAAAGTATTTAAATAAAAAAAATAAATTAGATATAATTAATAATATTATGATGTTTACTGCTATACCAAGTATGAGAAAAGATATTTGTATAATCTACTAGATTGTAAATATTATTATATTATAGAAATAATAATAATTTGTATTTAATAAATAAAGAGATAAAATTATTAGATAACACATTAAAGTTAACTAGTATTATAAGTAAAATGTTTTAGTTAGTTATTTATTAAATTTATTAATACAAGACCAAAACTAAGAATAATGTTTTAAGTTATGAAATTTGATAATAGCATTATCTTCTGCTATTTTAGTTTTTATAATACTAATAATATTTAGAGAATAAAAGATACAATAATCTTTTCAAAGTTTATTATTTGAAGCTTTTATTATATCTTTAAATATTATAAATATAGATTATAAAGTTTAGAAGAAAAGTAGTAGAGATACTAGTTTGTAAAGATTACTAAAATAAAAAAAATTATTTAAAGGTGATAATATAAAAAAAACTGATATATTGAAAAAGAATTTTAATAGTACATAACTAAAAAGATAACTGCAGAGTGTTATAATAATGAAAAAAATATTTAGACAAAGATTTGAATTTATAAGGAAAATAAATATAAACTTTATTTATATTATTTTTAAAGAATATTAGAACTGATTTTTTAAAATAATTGTTAACAGAAAAGAATTAAAAAATATATAAATAAAATAAAAATGTATATTGTAATATTGAAAAAAATAAAAGTTTGTAATATTAAAAAAATTTATTGCAACAAGAGTCAAGATAGTAAGGATTAATTTATTTTAATTAAAAAATTTATCTGATAGATTAATAAAGTTTGTATAAAACTCAATATCATATTAAATAGTAATATTATTAGAAAGAGAATATTGAAGACATATAAGATTATTTAGTATAGTTTAAAAAATAATAACTGATTTATATTTCTTAAATGAATTAGATAAAATAATGTTTGAGAAAGATAAGTTATCTTTTGTAAGCTTGCTTACCATATGCTCAGTTTGCATAACTGTACAGAATACTATAACTTATTCTGTATATTGGATCTAACCATCATTAACTTGGTCTTCTATATTGTTTTAAATAATATAAATTTAAATATTACAAATTATTAATAAAATTTTTTTTTTCAATAAAGACAAAAAATTGAAAATTTTGTTATTTGCTAATACAGATAATGATAAATAAATAAAAATCTATATATTTTTTATTATTATTATTAATTTTGTATATCTTTACATAATTTAAACTCAAGTCTAATACTGACTTAACCTTTGAAGTCAGATTAGTTTGAACAAATTATTTAACATTTCTAATCAAAACTGAACTATGATAAACTGTATGTAACATTGAGATGGTTGATGCACTATGTAAATTAAAACTCTATGTAATTATATAATAAAATTTATTAATAAAGATTTTTTAGAAAAGTAACAATTATAACAATTATTACAAAATTTTCAATAGATACACAGCTCTAACAGTTTGATAGTTTTAAATAAAATTTTGCACAGACCAGTATTAATCTTTACAAAAAAGGTTATATAATTATTTCTTTTATTTAATAATAAAAAAATTTATAATATATTATACTATATTTTTTTTCTTTTTCTAAAAAAAAGCAAGAAAGACTTAATTAAGTTTTTTTTTTAAAAGAAATGGTTTTATAGCTTTGTTTGTAGAGAAGTAATACTAGTTTATACAAAATTTTATTCAAAACTGTCGAACTGTTAGAGCTATGCATATATTTAAAATTTACAATAATTGCTATAATTATTACTTTCTAAAAAAAATTCATTAATAAATATTATTATATAACTACATATATTTTTGATTTACATAGTCCACGGACCACCCAGTGTAACATGTCTGAATCGCAAATTTATACATTCTTGACTAATAGTAAAGTTGAACAGCTATTTTAGACAAACAGGTAAGTACACAGCAAAACCATGCTTAGAGTATATATAATATATATCTACTCTAAGCATAGTTTTGCTGTGTATTCACTCAAATAGCAAAATAATAGTTTATTATCACACTTTTTGAAGACAATTGAAAATTTTGACAAGTTCTATTTAAAAAAATCCATGGTATAGTTTATACATATTTATGTATCTGTAATTAGAATGCTAAGTAGAAATATGATTTACCGTAGTGCATTGACCAAAATACCACATTTTTCAATACCCCCTTGCAAAATACACGGTGCAAAACACGAGATCTCTATTAATAATAGATTTTTTAAAAATTTTAGACTGCTTACTGTAAGTGTAGAATATGTATATGCTTGAAAATTTTTTTCTTGCGACACTGACCCGCTGCTGTATAATATACCCAGGTCTTTTATAAGTTTTCTGAAGAGTAGATTGTATTGCACCTCGGGTACTTTGGTCAATCCACTACAGTAATCGTAATTACAATGCTGAGCAGAAATATGATTTAATCGTGCTCACGTAGATGATTTATTATGCTAAGAAAGATAAATTATTATTTCCTCTATATGTTGACGAGAGTTTGCTAAAGGTTATGACTAGAAATAGGTACGACTTGAATTGACACAAGTCATGCTTTAAGTGAGTTGAGTCGATTCAGACTCTGAGCCAGTTGATTCGATGGAAATCCTTAATCAAATCAAATCTTGAGTTGATTCGACTCATTCAAAAGCGTGATCATCCCTCTTAATCATGTGAGCAAAATATTTGATTAACGTGACTTAATGTAAAACGAGCTAATAATTAACTTAGACAAAGAATTTTTTAAACTTTAATATCAAATAAATAGTAAAGTTTAAAACATTCTTCGTCTAAGTTAATTACTTGCTCGTTTTAAATTAAGCCACTCGAAATAATGCCCCAGGGACGTTATTTTGTTATATTGAACTTTCAAATAATCACCTGAACAGCCAGTTCAGTATACGTAGAGAGAAGCTGCTTTATAAGGTAAATTTGATAGTAAATATTATTTGATTTTGCTAATTTTACCAACTTTTCTTTACACATTTGTTTCATCACCTTTTATTAGTTTTTCCAGGTTCGCATTTCTACTTTTTCAAAAAAAAATTTTCTGAAAAATTTAAAACTATTCTTCAACTTTCTCCAATACGAAACATTAATGTTTCGTCTAATAACTAATATCAATACTGAGATTGACTCAAAAATACATATATAGAAAATTAATAAAGCACACCAACATTTTGGGAATCTTCTAAATTAAATTCGTTAAAATTATAGAAAACTAACTGTGATTAAATGAACAGATTAAAAATTATAATTCAATGACAAGAACAATTATAGTAATATGAATATAATAATAATAGATATCTTTATATTTCATGTGTTATATATATAAGATAATAGATTAATCGGCAATAGAAATAAGTATCTTAAGGAGATGCTTCCGCACATGCCAAAAGTATTGAATGACTATCATTTTTATAATTAACAACTTTAACAACTACATCGACCATATCTTGTTTTGAATCCGGAGAATTAATTAGTTTGTTTACACTAAATGAATGACCAGCTTTAGTTTTAGGAATAGGAATGAAACTGAAACCTCTTTCCTCCTTATCTTTATTCAAAAAGCTAACAAAAACGAATCCACTCGTAATTTCGCTCATTACTTTTCCAGACACAGAAAACATAGAACTTTTTTGAAGTTTGAGAGGATCAGGTGAAAGTGAAACTTTGACGCTAGGCACGTTTCCATCTTTACATTTAGTAAACTTGGTGCCACCTTTACGATTAGTGTCTCTTTCCTCGAATTGAATAGCACTGGCGACGGAAAGCGTAACCAATAAAATAAGTGCAAAAAGAAATCTTGAGTTCATTTTTCTTTGTGTATATAATAATTGGTGTATATGATAATTGGTTGAGTATTTATTTCTTAATTATTGGAAAACTGAATTCAGACATTGCCTTTATATAATTAAAACACAGTCAGAACTCGTTATAGTCACCCTTGATATGGTCACAACCTTGTTATAGTCACACTATTACGTATAAAGCATATAATTTTGACCTTCATATAGTCACAATTTTTTATAATCACCAAAATTTTGTTTCCCGAAATATATCAAGGACTAGCTGTACGTATAATTTTCGTTTAAAAAAATTCTTGTATGTACGCTTTATATTAGTATAGACATATAAATTGAAAATTTAAATGAATTTTTATAATAAGTAAATTTTCAATGAATTCTACTACTAAAATTATTTATATTAGGCAGATTGTCAAATCCTTAATAAATGTGGAATAATTAACGTTAACGTTTAGACTGACTTTCATGCGGGACACGCTAAATCACAATTTTATCTCATTTGAATTACATTAATATCGGATGCATTACTAAGCCTAATTAAGAAAATAGCGAATTGTGTAAATATCGTCTTTAAATTTGAAAATTATAGAGAAATTGAATTTCGCAAAGGATTTCTTTTTATTATTGAAAAAAATTCTGGTTATATGAAATTTAAGCAAAGCATTATATACGAGCATTATGCCTCCGAAAGTATGGTTAAAGGCAGTTTTCAGTGATACCGAAAAATCAATCGGAACACAAAAAACAATTTTTAATTCAATTCATTACGAATAATTGCAATTAATTACAATTTTTACCTTTAACTGTAAATTTCAGATAATATAAAACTTTAAGCAACTAAAAAAATTAATTAAAACTGATACAGAAATACATTGCCATGGTATCTCAAAGGTTCATTAAATTTTGTATATCTGTTTCTTTTTTGTTTGATTATCGACTGTGACCCGGAAGAACATAAAGTACACTGTCTGCCGTCGTTTGAAGGCTAAAAAAAAACATCTTTTTGATTATCGGCTATGATCCGGAAGTGTCGTCATTTGAAGGTCTAAGAAACAATTTATGCACCATTTTTTCAGAACTTAATCAATTTAAGAAAAAAAAAAAGGCTTATAATGCTACACTGATTTACATGTCTTTGAAAGAAATGTAAGTTAATATTCTGTAGTTGCATAATTTATAAATTTTGTAAGTTAATACAAAAAAGTGATTATTTGATTGTATTTTATTTTTTTTAACTATGTACAATTTTAGACAGTAAATATACTTATATTTATTATTACATATTTTACCAAGTCCTTACATTTTGCATTAATTGACTCTTTGTGACTGCGCCAGCAATCAATTAATTTGGTTCAAATAATTGCCCTCAATCAATTATTCGGTGGGTTTTATCATATAAAATTTCAGATTTTATGCATAGCAAAATAAGCGTATTAAGTCAGTAGCAAATCGAATTTTTTATGAATTTCGAAAACATAAATTCCATGTTCCTACCGTAAACAAGTGACCTTTCCGGAGTTCCTTCCTATTTTCATGTGTTTCTAGCTCATTTTCTACAAAGAATTCTCGATTTGTTAGAATTAGTATTAGGATTGGTGATTTAGCTAAGATCAGTTACATGATCACTGTACCTTTTATGCATACTTTGCAAGTTCATTATGTATAAAAGTTGTGTTCTGATTTCCTAGTATATGAAACTACAAATGTACTACTCATCAATAATAAAAAAAGATACTTCCAGAAGATCATGCGAGGTAAAGGTTTTATAGTAGTATACTGATCAGGTCCAATGGTTTTTTTCAGAGATTTATAGTTGAAAAAATTGCCGATGAATGAATTGATAAAATTCTAATTTTGGTTTAAATATTGGTAACTCACTAAATACCAGTCATTGACCTGATATCAATAATATAATATATTTGGATTATATCGATATATGGTGCGTAAAAAACCATTGCGTCACTCCCGAAAATATTTCGGCATAGTTGCCGAAAATACTTTAGGAAGTGCCACAATATTTCATCATCATGTAGATATAAAAAAAGCTAGAGCTTAAAAGGCAATTTTTAATATATGAGGTGTTACATCGTTAAACAGCTCATTTTTACATGTAAATCATTTTAAAGTAAATTGGATTTAAATTTTGATCTACAAATAAAATAGTACCGTATATAAGCGCGAAATAACGGACCGAGTAAAATTCATCACCGAAAATTTTTTCAGATCACGCGAGATATGATTTTATGAGCATTGTTTTATTATATTATTCTAAATTAGAATGACGATGCTCGTTAAAATCATATCGCGTGATCTTAAAAACATTTGGGTGGTGAATTTTACCCGGTCGAAATAATGTGCAGAGGTGTTATTTTGAATAATGGCCCGAAATTAAGCTTAATTTAGGCCAAAATTTGAATCACACTTCTGCGCTAATACAAATATAATTTTTTCACTTCTTTATTTTGTGGATATTTTATAGTCAACTCTCGCAATAGTCACAATTTTAAAAACCATATACCAATCATTTATGATACTATAAAAAAAAATTTATAGGTAAAAAAATCTTAAATTAGTTAAAACAATTTCCAAAGGCATGGGTCACATAATGTACTACAAAATTTAAACATGACATATATTAGAGTGTGGTGACTTAGTGAAGTGGATAAGTTGTCAACCCTCAAGTGATAGGTAGTAAGTTCAAACCTACTGACAGCAAAAATTTGGATAATCATCTATGTAATACACAGGTGGTATTACAGTGACAGCATTCTGTTGATTAGTTAGAATAAGATACCTATAACTATAATCATACCAGCATAATTTGTAGGTTATAAGACATTTGTACAATGTTGAAGTTATACAAAAGAATGCAAACTGGTATCAGATAATGCAAACCTAAGATAAGTTCTTGTGGTTATATAAATCTATAGAACTGAGAAACCAGAATCTACTTGGAAAGATCCAAACAGAAAGGTAATACAAATCTTTAATAATATCATTGTAAAAATTAAACCTAAAAAATAAATATTGATATAAAAGGAATTAGGCAAATAAGAATCTCAGATAAGATATTACCAATCAAATTGTCAAAAGTCTCAAACTAAAAGAAAAGAATTATGGAAAATGAAATTTTAAGATACTAGAAACAGGTTACAGTTCTTTTAGATTATTTGAATTAGAAATTTAAAGACTAAAGTAGAGTATAACTTAAGTATTAAGAATATGTTATAAAGTAGATACTAGGATTTAGATTAAATTTGTAAAGGTGAGTCCTATTAACAAGATTAAATGTAGGTAGTTAGTTAGCAAGAGAGTTCTCTAAAACTTTATAATCAGATAATGTATTTTGAAATATGTAATGACTTAACAGATGTATAGATAGAAAGGTCAAGGTTAGATTAGATGACATTTTGATATACAAAAACTTATGTGTTATCTGTTAGATATAATATAAGGATCAAAATATTTAATTAATTAGTCTTTTAGCAAATTACAAATATGGTAGCTAGTATAGAACTTGTGATCAAACTAATTAAATAGATAGTCAAAAGTTGTACATATGACTAGTTATATACTTACTTATACAAGTTATATAATTATAATTAAAATCACAATAAAGGCAGTAGCTGGGCATTGGCTAGGTTCAGATTAATAACAATAACCAAATTATTCACAAATTTTCTATCAAAATTAATTTTTAGTAATCATCCTACAAAGCAAAACTAATGTCTATTCTCTTAACTATTTCTACTACAGTCTGAAATGCAATAGTCAATATTTTTACAAATTTCCAATCTATTATTACTAAATATACCAACATCTATACTATACTTTTCAATTCTAATAAACTTTTTAAATTCAATACATGGACTATATAGTATACTTTATTGAATATTATTAAATCTTACAATCTTCAAATCAATTTCTATAAAGTACAAGCTTATATTAACAATAATCTAAATAACCTTATTGACTCTCTCACTAAGTAACATAATCTTTCTTCTGATTTATACTTCAACTATACTAATATCTACAACTCATATCACATGCTATTCTGAAATCAACATTTTATAGAATAGCCTACAAGAATATTTATTAAAAATATTTGCAAAGACTACATTCTGGCAATATAGTCATCTCAAAAACAAATCCAAAAATAGAATCAACTTATTTCAGAAATAGATTAAAAATCCACTTGGCTATATTTTAATTATAACCAAAAACCAATACATAATATAACCAACTTCAAACTTAATTATTTCAAATCTTTTAAAATCAAAATTCTACTAAATGAACTACATATATACTTTCTATATTATAAAATATATCTACATATTTTCTATAATATAAACTGCTTTTATTACAACTTATCTGACTCCTCAACATATTGGCAAATATGTTCTAATCTAACACTACTCACTAGTATTATTCAAGATACTATCTTCAAACACATTAACCAAAACAACCTGAATCTTTCTAAACTTCAGTAAGAAGAACTTATTCAAAAAATTCAAAATCATGAAATCTTTTATCAGATATCATTTAATGAAAACTCATTTTATCTTGATATTATTTTTAAAGGATTCATATCCAAATCTTTAATTTAAACAATTCAAATCTTTAATATTCTTTACAAATTAGCATCACAAATGGTTATTAAAATACTACTTGAAATTAATGAGCTATATCATGAACTATTCTGGAAACTATATTGTATAAACTTTTCAAATTGGAAAAAACAACAAGGTTTTAAATCTTTTTTTTCTAAATACTTAACTCAACTAATCATAATAGACAAACTAAATACAACTACCAAATATATACATATTCATGTATATATAAACTACCTAACCAAATATCTTCAAACTTCAACACATGCCTACTTCTTGGTCATGCTATTAGAAAAATCAATATATGAACTATTTTTTAGATTAAATACAATATTTCATTTAACTATATTTTAACTATCTAAATCTAGGTGAGTCTTGACCACTCTAGTAGGTTTAAGT